TCATTTCTTTGCATTTTTTTTCCTATAGAAACTTACATTAAAACAAGATCTTGGTTGTCGGAGAGTCAACCTGCTACTGCTGCATAATTCTTAACCCAGATAATCACCTTCTGTTTCAGCATTGACACTGGTTGCTGTTGAAATTATTATAATGTCACAGAAGTTTGATTTACTATAATGAATAAACATCAGGAGTAGATAAGCTCTTAACCACGAACGTGCCTATTAATAAAGTCCCACACAAAAGGAAAGAATTGTTCCCCCTAAATCACAAAAAATATTCAGTACCGGCAGAATTTTTCTGAATAGCTAGTATTTTACAAGAGCTTTCTAAGAGGCAACTTGGGGTCTTTTAAGATAAATTACTAATTAAGAGAAGAGGAGATGACTTTTATTTTCCTCAGCCATATTTGATCACATAATCGTTCTTAGTTATGAGATTCATATGTGTTAAACTAAAGTAGTGAACAGGTAAACAGACAAAAGACTAGTAGTCCAGAGTGAATTGTAACTTGGTGATTTAACAAGCAACTTCCTGTTGAACTTGTAATACAGTACAGGCAGTCCCCGGGTTACGTACAAGATAGGGACTGTAGGTTTGTTCTTAAGTTGAATTTGTATGTAAGTCGGAACTGGCTCCAGATTCAGCCGCTGCTGCTGAAACTGACCAGGGGCTGACTACAGGAAGCTGGAGGCAGAATTGCTCTGCCCCCAGCTTCCTGGAATCAGCCACTGATCAGTTTCAACAGCGGCTGAATCTCGAGCCTGGGACAGAACAGCTGGGCTGCCAGGTAGGTCCCTGCAGGACCAACCCGGCAGCACCCCAGCTGCTCTACCCCAGGGTCCACAACAAAAGCCTGGTCTGCTGGGGGGAAGGGTGCACTGGCTGCGCGCCCCCTCCCCCAGCAGACCAGGGACACCGGGAGCAAAGCCTCAGAGGCGCGGGACCCCTCCGCCTCCCCGGCTTTGCTCCAGGTGTCCCTGTTCTGCTGGAGACGGTCCCCAGCAGACCAGAGGCACCGGGAGCAAAGCGGCAGCGGGGTCCCGCGCCTCTG